GTAAGCAACAGCTAGATTGGTAATAGGATGGTATTGTAGCTGTCTTCATTAAAGTCCCTTCCTCTGCTTCATTATCTTCTTCTTCCTTTGATAGTTTCCATTTATTAAATGTTTCATTAAGATCCAAGCTGGGTTCTAAGAATTCCAGATAGATTTTGCATGTAGTTTTTATAACCACTCTGTGTAAAATGCATTAATATCCCTATTTTACAAATAAAGCAATTGATGATTGGAAATTTAGGTCACACAACTAACATTATTTTAAGTATTTTAATTTTTGTGAGTTACTTTTTCCACCTGTGTGTCTTGATTGTAAAATATTATTTTAAATTGTGGTACCTAAAATAATACCTTAGGTATCCTAAAATCAGAAAAACAAGAGTTAAATATAAGATGAATATACTGTTGGCAGGGATACTTCTCATCTTTCTTATAAAGTTACCATGCTCGGTGTAGTAAGTAAACATTATCCGAAAAGACATTTTCTAATTTCGAATTTCAAAATCTTTCTATTTATTTATTTTTATAATGTATATTACATGTTTTGTTCCATATTTCATAATCACGTATTTATACAAAATGCAAAAAACAAATCTTATCATTACAATATTTCTGTAGCTGTAATTATAAAGTGGTATAAAATTTAATAAAACAAGATGCTTCCGATTCTTCAGCATTCCCTCAGATAGACATTTTTGAATGAAAGTCATGAGATTGTTTCCAAGGTACACTGCCCTTAAATCATAAGTTATTAAATAATAGTTTTCAGTATAAAATAATTACCCTTGCCATTTTCATTATGGCACATCTGCCTTGGACATAAGAAACGAAATCCTGTGACTGACTTAGTTGCAATTAGCAAGTCATTCAGAAATCACATTCATCACTGTCATTTCAGAAGAGTCTAGAAGGAATTGCTTGTGCTATATTTAGCACGCATGAGAGCTGCAAAGTCCAGTCTGTTCGTCTTTTTCATGTTTCTATTTGTTTGGAAAAGCTAGAAAGCTCTAGCCAAAAAGGGCAGGAAGGAAGGTTGGTTTTCAATACCCTTCTTCAGTTCAGCTGAGAACTCCTTTCTATGACTCAATAGTCAGTTCCAAATGACCACATTTTTAAAAAAATTTGGTTATCATGCTTGTATTTTCTTCATAGATGATATTACTACCTTAATTCATATCTATTAATCAATTTATTATTTATCTCCAGTCATTAAACTGATGGATCTCAGCAATCAGTGACTTATAGGTTCTGTTTACTGTTATATCCATTGCCCACATTTCTGGCACATGTCAGGCAACAAAATTCAATTATTGAATAACAAACAGCTTCCTGAAAAAAAGTCAGTTCAGTTTTTTTATTGTGGATTTTTAAAAAATCAACAGAATACTGGCCCTCATATGCTATTTCTCCAGAAAAGAGTAATCTAATTTTTTCACAATAAAGAAGTTATCTTAAGTCTTGAGGTCTATATACACGGAGAGAGAGTAGCAATAGTGAATACATTTGGTGTCAAGTACAACTAAAATTATGTCATAGGGAGAATTTAGATTTATTCTACAGGAAAAACAGAGAATCCTGGGTAAAATTTATGGAGATATTGTTTAGCTTAGTATTATATTTGTTATTAATAAAGACACAGTTCTCTTTGAGAAAAAAAATAAAAATAGCCCCAGAGCCTGGAATTCTAGTAGGGCCTGAATGCAGGTCTGTTTTTCCAACTAGATATAGTAATGAATAAAGTTATCAAGGATTGGAATGACTTTGTTCAGATTGTGACACATATTCCATTATTAAAAGTGAAAAAACGGAAGTTAGAATAGCTTTGTGCAGATATTCTAGAGAGAATAAAACACTGAATGGAAGATTAGACAATATTACTTCAAGATAACTTTAAATTCTTTTAAAGGGCCTAATATTATTTTTGATTAAAAAAAGTATTCAAGTAACAGAAAAAAAGTTTGGAGAAAAGAATACCCAGAAAAGTGCTACCTGAAATAATTTAAGAATAGAAATCTTTGATTATAAAATATTTCTGATTGCATGCTAATAAAATAAAGTACTTCCATGAGAAATAATTGAAGGCTAAATGGGACATTGTAACACTTTCAAATAGTAGAAAATATGGATGGGATATTTTTAACTTACTAATGATTAGTAAAATAATTGGGAAAAAAGAATTATGGAAAAATAACATGGCATTTTATATGGTAGGTAGCAAACATATCTTTATTGTTACCTTTCTAATATTAATATAGATTTGAAATTATTTTGGTTAAAGGTTTTCACCAATTAGTTAAGTATCTGAAATGTTTTATTAAAATGAAATAAGATTATTTTGTGTATCACCATTTTAATTATTACAAATTCAATGTTCAATGCTCACTTTGAAAAATTCATTAAGCATGATTTAGGCTCGAGTCTGTATGTATGTTTATGGTAATAAAACTGACTTCCAATGTTTATTTGTTGTGCTGACAGCTTCCTCCATAAACAGTGTCATTACTGTCTGTGGACCTTAATGTGGCACATTTGGTTGTTACATCTTACTTTCCCTATATACAACATCTTTTATGTAGATCTACTAATAAAATTAAATACACATAGATATATTTAAAATTTTAGCTTCACTAAATTCATTATGTTACCTAAAATCCCCTCTTCGCACATTAGACACTGTGCGTATTATACACAAAATGACAGTAGGTTCAATACCTTAAAATTTTTAACCTAAATTCACTACTAGGCAGGAGTGTAGGTTCATAAAAGGAATTTCAACTAAAATAACATACAGTTTTTCTAAAGCAGGAAGAATATGTAAGGCAATTATATTCTCATTATTCCAAGATGAGATCTGTGCCATTTGGAAGGAAACACAATGCTAAATACAGAGAAAATATTTTGAAAATTGGATAGGATTTTTGTAAAGATTTCAAATAAAATAGAAAAAATATTTCAACTTAAAAGTTGAAAAATGTTTTATTTATCAAAGTTTACCAAATCATCTGTAAGATGATATAAGTATGTGTTTTGAATAAGTAGTAAAGAAATAAGGAGACGAGATAGCCACCCACAGGCACAGATATTATCCTAAAAACTGTATTATTTGTAATTCTGTCATTGAAAATGAAATTTTTTTATGTTCCGTTTGTATCTCTGTATGCAACTATATACTCTAGTTTTTTGTTTGTTTGTTTGTTTTGTTTTACAAAATCTGCATGAGAAGACTGCTTTCTTCTTTTTTGTTGGAATGGGGAGCTCATTATGTTGCCCAGGCAGATCTAGAACCCTAGGACTCAAGCAATCCTTCTAACTCAGTCCAGCCTCCCAATTAGCTAGGATTACAAGCATACACAACAACACTCAGCAAAATTGCTTTTTATTGGGAAACAGTATTTTTTTTTAAATATTAATGTTGAGGTACTTAGTTGAAACCATGGAAACACCAGATTTATGTTTTTGACATTGTAGGCTTTGAGATTTGAAAATTCACCTACCTCAGCCATTCAAGTTGTGTGACATTGGACAATCTCAGCTTCCTTATCTATATAATCTGAATAATAAAATTGCCTCTTTCAAATAATCATAGTTAATGTTAACTGAGTTTTTGCATAAAAAGTGCTTAATTCAGTGTCTAATAGATACAAAATTTCTAATAAATGTTTTTAAAGTATATTCTTCTTAAATTTACTCATATACCTCTGAAACAGATCTCAAACAACCTCAAAATATCTTAGGCAACATCCACACCAGTTGTTTAGAAGAGAAAATACACACACACACACACACACACACACACAGAGTTTGTTTTTTCGTTTGAAAGGATACACTGTAGTTTCAAGTGTATGCAGTATAATTCTAATCACTTTAAAAGTTCATTCTGATACAATTAGTCTAATGGCTTACTTATTTAGGTAAAACCTTTACTAAACAGCCTTTTATCAAACATTGACTCTATGCAAGGCTACAAGAGTCAACAAAACAGACATTTTGTCTGCTATTATGGAGCCTTAAAGTCTAATGGAGGTGATTAGCCAAATATAGGGACCTCCAGTGAATAGTGATATAAAGTCAATAACTTTGAATTCAAGAATATTTATTTGATATGCTGAAACTACCCATTAAAGAAAAATATCACAATTAAGTTTTCATATAATTTTCCTGGAGTATTATTTCCCAGGTCTTTTCTAATATTTAAATATTCATTTAAAAATCAAGCTATTTTAAGATTTGTATGTGTTACTATAAAACTAAGTTTCCAGGACATTTTTTTGGCAATTCCTAGGCTCATTCCTGAAACTGTGGGCTTGCTGCCATCAATTTTGTGGCACAGACTAACGCAAACAGACGTGAATAAGAGCAAAACTGATAGAATTTGGAAGACTCAAAAAAGAAACCAATTTGTTTCAAGTTTGAGATTATTTTCTTATCTATAATTAATGCAAAGTCTGCCCCCTTATCAAAATAAGTGTTCTAGTGCCATTATTTGAAAGTACATTTGAGCTCTCTACAGATCGTTAGGCTGTCACTCCTCTGGGATTCATATGATCACATCCAAATGAAAACAGTTGCTTTGCTATCACTAGAAAATGAAAATGGGTACAAACGTAATGCATCTTCACATTTCGAAATTAGGGAAGACATCTGGATGCACTTGCTCAGCTAATGAATAAAGGGAAAAATGGAAGAATAAAGGAAGGAGTGAAGGAAGAAAGGAGAGACTGGAGGGAGGGAGGGAGGGAGGGAGAGAGGAATGGAGGGAGGGAGAGAGGGAGAGAGGAACGACCAAGGAGAGGAGAGGAAGGAAGGAAGGAAGGAAGGAAGGAAGGAAGGAAAGGGAGGGAGGGAGGAAGGAAGGAAAAGAAAAAGTGTCTAATTTTCTGTAATACGATTTAGTATTCAGCCCAATTCATTTTCTGGAGTTGGAGGAGGCTAAACATTGCTTAGTATCCCTCTTTAACTCACCAGCTAATTATGCAAACTTTTATATCCAAACAATGCAGAGGAAAGAAGACAGAATGATCTTCCAGACCATGAAAGCTTTGTTCATCCATCATACCAACAGTGTACTAAAGATCTTAGAGATCTTTTGTCTGGCAACTCTTTGACCTTTCAGCTGATGAATAACTGAAGATGTGCAATACAAAGAAATTACTAGAAGAGAACTATGCACTGGGAATCAGTTTGTTTTCATGACTCTATCCAACTACTTTAGTGAAGTATTTAGGAGAGTGGGTTAAGTACACAAGCCTCTTTTAAATACTTATTAAGATTAAAATGTTCTCATAATATATAAAAATGTGCTTTAAGTGGGCACTTGATTCCCAGTTAGAAATTTAGGATTAAAAAAACACAGTACATCTCAGCAACGGCGAAAATTTTGATTTGGATTAAAATCAAATCTACATGAAGATTTTGATTTGGATTAAAAAGAGAAACATATTTCTGTGCGCTTAAGGCTTTTTTTACTCCTTTTTATTTCCTGAACAGAACAGAGCTTAACAATACTGATTGACAACATGAACAAGACTCTTCATTAGGACCTAGTAATAAAACAAATGATTAGAGTAAGGTAGGACTCCTGATACCAGAAATCACTCAAGAAGTCTCACCTTATATGCAGGGTTGAGTTTTGCATTTTTGTTTATATGTTTTTATTTCCCCTTAAAACAAAATGTTTCTTTCTTTCTTACGAGGCATCCGCTTTGATAACACATGCCAAGCTATATTATATCATAATTGGTCTTTGCTTATTTCTAGTGATGAAGCCTCATCCCATATTTTTGCGTGAACTACAGCTGTTAATTTTTCTTAAAGTTTGAAAATTATGTGCAGCTGATATGTCATCTTCCTAGTATTTAACTGAAGTGTAATTTGTTCCTCTTTATTAGAGCTGAATAAAAATAAGTCTTTTTTATTTCCTAGAAAGTTTAGCACATTGAAATGTTTTGCCTTTGATCAAATTTGTGTACAGGATCATACAGATTATATATTTCCCGTAGGGTTATTCTCTCCTCCTCTCCTCTCCCTTTCTCTTCCCTTCTTTTTTCTCATAAAAACCTATATCCAAATTCTCCCTGAAGCTGAGAATGTATTCCAATCCACAAGTTAAGAATGATGAAACAGTAAAAGTTTAATAAGCCGCTTGGCCATGGACTTTTTTTTTTTTTTTTTTTTTTTTTTTTGAGACGGAGTCTGGCGCTGTCGCCCGGGCTGGAGTGCAGTGGCCGGATCTCAGCTCACTGCAAGCTCGCCCCCCGGGTTTTACGCCATTCTCCTGCCTCAGCCTCCCGAGTAGCTGGGACTACAGGCACCCGCCACCTCGCCCGGCTAGTTTTTTGTATTGTTTTAGTAGAGACGGGGTTTCACCGTGTTCACCAGGATGGTCTCGATCTCCTGACCTCGTGATCCGCCCGTCTCGGCCTCCCAAAGTGCTGGGATTACAGGCTTGAGCCACCGCGCCCGGCCGGCCATGGACTCTTATAGCACAGTATATTTACATACAAGAAATCATCCTGAGTTAATTTCTGAATTTTTGCAAATTTCTAAGGTATGTTATTATAATCCTGTCCCTCTGGGTACCTTGATTCCTGCCTAAAAATAACAAACCTTATTATTTAACAAAGCAAAAAAACTGAACAAACTATAATGAATCTAGGGAATTGTTTTTCAGTAATCACTTTTCTCATTTCTACTGTTAGCAATAGAAATATCTGGAGATGGCAGGAAGCAACTAATAAAAGTGAAGTAGATTTAGATATTTGCATTAAATATAATCTAAATTGCAAATAATCCTCTTATAGTCTCTATCCATAGCTGCATTATAATACAGTTCACATTGCTTTAGCAACTAATTTTTTCTGCCTTTATTACATCTTCCAGAAAACAAAAAGAATACAAAGGCCTTCTTAACAAACCATAGTAAGTCAAGATGGAGAATATAAGTGGGCCTTGAAAACTCTTGAGTTAGATTTTAGTTTGTGAACAAGCTTAAGAGAAATTCATCTATAAAATGACGCCTCATTAGCAGATGAAGTTGAAGTCAAACGTTTTGCTATCTCACGGCACCTGAAGAATCAGTGTGTTTTTAGTCAATGTGAGTTTTAGAAAATTAACATTTACAAGACATTTTACTTTAACAACACATGAGAAAAGGTGAATTTCCCTTTTTTAATAAAGTGAAAAGTTTTGTTTTAGAACTGATAGTGAATTGATCCAACATACATCCAAAGTTCCGAAAGCTACTCACTTCTCATTGCAAAAAGCATTTTTTCAATGTATACTTTCCTAGGTTTATTGTAGGCACTGGGCATGAATAAATAAGATTGATTTTTTCTGAAGCTCAAAATATAAGTTTTTGATTTATATAATTTGGCATTGTTAGCAGTGTTTCATTTGTTTCACAATATAAAATAAAATTTTATATAAATGATATTTGTTCAGTTATTTTGGGTATTTCTAATATTCGAGTTACAGAATACACAGACAAACACACAGACGCACACACACGTTTGTCTGCTCTATAGGCTGAAAAACCTGTGTGCCTCCAACACTCTTATGTTGAAATCCTAACTCCCCATGTGATGGTATTAGGTAATACTGTGTCCGGAATTGGTGGGTTCTTGGTCTCACTGACTTCAAGAATGAAGCCGCGGACCCTCGCGATGTTACAGTTATTAAAAATAGTGTGTGTGGAGTTTGTTCCTTCAGAGGTTCAGATGTATCTGGAGCTTCTTTCTTCTGGTGGGTTCGTGGTCTTGCTATCAGGAGTGAAGCTGCTGCAGACCATCATGGTAAGTGTTACAGCTCTTAAAGGCACCACTTCTGGAGTTGTTAGTTTCTCCCGGTGGGTTCAGGGTCTCGCTGGCTTCAGGAGTGAAGCTGCAGACGTTGGCAATGAGTGTTACAGCTCATAAAGGCAGCGTGGACCCAAAGAGAGAGCAGCAGCACGATTTATTGCAAACAGCCAAAGAATAAAGCTTCCACAGTGCAAACGGCGACTGCAGTAGGTTGCCACTGACTGACCGGGCAGCCTGCTTTTATTCCCTTATCTGGCCCCACCCACATTCTGCTGATTGGTCTATTTTACAAAGAGCTGATTGGTCCATTTTGACAGCGCGCTGATTGGTGCGTTTACAATCCTTGAGCTAGACAGAGTCACAGAGTGCTAGTCTTCCAAGTCTCCACTAGGTTAGCTAGATACAGAGTGCTGATTGGTGCACATAGGATCCTCCACCTAGATAATAAACATTCTCCAAGTCCCCATCCAGTTCAGGAACCCAGCTGGCTTCACCCAGTGGATCCTGCACAGGGGCTGCAGGCAGAGCTGCCCGCCAGTCCTGAGCCGCCCCTGCACTCCTCAGCCCTTGGGCTGTGGATGGGACCGGCTGCCACGGGGCACCGCAGAGAAGGAGCTCAGACATGGCGGGCTGCAGGTCCCGAGCCCTGTCCCTCCAGAAAGCAGCTAACGCCCGGCGAGAATTTGCGTGCGGCGCTGGCAGGCCGGCACTGCTGGGGGACCCAGCGCAACCTCTGCAGTTGCTGGCCCAGGTACTGAGCCCCTCACTGCCCTGGGCCTGCGGCGCCAGCTGGCCGGTGTGCTGTGCCCCCAAGCCCGCGCCTGCCCGTGGGAACTCGCGCTGGCCCACGAGTGCAGCCCGCAGCCCCGGTTCCCACCTGCGCCTCTCTCTCCACACCTCCCCACAAGCAGGGGGAGGTGGCTCTGGACTCAACCAGCCCAGAGAGGGGCTTCCACAGTGCCGTGGAGGGCTAAAGAGCTCCTCAAGCGCTGCCAGAGTGGACGCCAAGGCCGAGGAGGCGCCGAGAGCGAGGGCTGCTAGCATGTTGTCACCTGTCATTAGGAGGTGAGGCCTTGGGAAGGTGATTAGGTGGTGAGGGCAGAGTCCTCATGAGTGAGATTAGTGCTCTTATATCAGAGATCTAAAATAGCTCCCTTCTCCCTTCTATGTGAGGACACAGCAAAAAGACTGCTGTCTATGAACCAAGAAGTAAGCTCTCTCATCAGACACCAAATTTCCCAGTGCCTTGATTTTGAACTTCCCAGCTTCCAGAATATGAGACATCAATTTCTGTTGTCTGTAAGCTATCCAATTTATGGTGTTCTGTTATACCATCCCAAGCAGACTATGATAGCTTGTGTATATGTGTACGTATGCAAAGAAAAAATACATTTTTCTTTTATCTTTAAAGATTTCTCTTAGAAGCTTGTAGAAAACCATGAAATACAAGGTTTTATAAAACTAACAAATTACCCAGGACATTGCCTTGTGGATTAAAATGGAACTAGCATGATTAAATTACTCGTAATGCGTTCGTGGGTTAATACTAACTTGCTCTAATAAAATTCAATGGATATTAAACTCATTTTATTTGGGTATATAGTTAATAAATATTATAATTAATTTAATTTAATAAATCTGTGTAATTTTTTTTTTTTTTTTTTTGAGATGGTGTGTCACTCTGTCGCCCAGGCTGGAGTGCAACGGCACAATCTCGGCTCACTGCAACCTCCGCCTCCCAGGTTCAAGCAATTTTCCTGCCTAAGCCTCCAGAGTAGCTGGGACTACAGGTGCACACCACCATGCCTGGCTAATTTTTTGTACTTTTAGTAGAGATGGGGTTTCACCATATTGGTAAGGCTAGTCTCAAACTCCTTACCTCAGGCGATCCACCCGCCTTGGCCTCCAAAAGTGCTGGGATTATAGGAGTGCACATGGTAAAAAGTAGTTTGCATGTGAGACACTGAAAAGTTATCCCAGGGTGTCTGATTGCCACAACAAATAGTTACTGGAAGCAGAATTTCACATTATTTGGTTTGGAGTACTGTTTTTCTTGAAAGTACAGAAATTGTCATCTGTGAACTATTTCCCATGTGGTAGTAGTTTCTAAACATGAACATTTACTGTGAAGGACGAAGAGGTAACCACACATCAGTTGTGATGTTTCTTACTTATTGTACCCATCTGCACACTATGAGTCAGGTACAATTTCAGGTTGTCAACAAAACAATCAAATGATAGTTTGAATGAGACTTCTTAGCCTCTCATGAGAAAAAGGAAAAAGGACAGCTAAAGTACATAGAACAATATGAGGTGATAAACACTGACTACTTCAATTTGGTTCCCGAGGAAGGTCTGTCTGAAGAGATGGTAGGACGAGAATAGGACAAGGAGCTATGCTTTGGGGAAATATAGGCATTGTATATCCTATGAATTGTTATATTGCATTATGTGTATTTTTAAATATTATAGCTGTATTGAAATTTGTAAATTGACTAACATTGTTAGTGTAACTGGGAGAACATTACGTTTAAGAACTTAAGACCTAAAGCCATAAAATTACCAGAAGAAAACATAAGGAAAACACTATAGGACACTGATGTAGGCAAAGATGTTATGGCTAAGACTGTAAAAGCACAGGTAACAAAATCAAATTTAGACAAATGGGACTGTATTAAACTAAAAAAGTCTTCACCGCAAAGGAAACAATCAACAGAGAAAAGACACAACCTCCAGAATGCGAATAAGTATTTGAAAATCAATAAAAGACATTGTTTATAGGAAAAGTAAGATAAAACAACCAAATGTGCCACTTTAAGGTGCTCAGACAGCAATGATACTACTTTTTGGAGGAAGATGTCAGCACAACAAACATTTTAAATCAGTTTTTATTGCAATACATATACATACAGAATTGAGCCTATATTATGTTTAGTGAATTTTTCAAAGTGAGCATCTAACAACACTAAATTTGTAACCATTAAAATGGTGATACATACAAAATAATCTATTTTATATTAGTAATCCATTTCAGAATCTTAATTAATTGGTGA